AGCTAAATTGACCTTTATTGCTAGGAGACTGAATCTCTGAACTCCAATCATGTCTCAGTAAACGTCCCCGATAAACTTTTATTTGTTTTAATTTTGTTTCTTTTGTTTTGCCTCAAAATCGTTTTAACTGACTGCAGTAATGTTTTCAAATAAGCAGAAATTTTAATTAATCATATCGGCTTTATGTAAACTCAATTAGCGACATCTGCACTATGGCCATTAACGAACACGTACAAATAATGCACTGTAACTGCAAACGATTTACTCCAAATCTGCACCTTCAATTAATTATTTTAGACCACATCAGTTTGAAAACAAATGCTCTGCGTTGTACCAGTAAATCATTAATTTGGGCCTTCAGACAGATTTCCCCCTTTTTTTACGAAACAAAACCTTCAGGTGGTGGTGGTGTGTGTGTGTGTGGTGTTTGTTGTGTGTGTGTGTGTGTGTGTGTGTGTGTGTGTGTGTGTGTGTGTGTTTAAAGTTTATATTGAGACGAATGAAACTGAACAACAACAAGAAACTTGTGAATCCCTTTCATCTGAAATTCTGGCTTCGTGTCATCTTTCAAAACACACAAAAAATGACTTGTTTCAGTTGGCATTTTTGCAGTGCATCAGCCTGTCTGAGTCAATTTCATTCCACTCACGACATCTGTGGGGGAAAATTGCATCGCTTCTCAAGCTTGAACTTTGTCCAGCTGATTGATTAATTGTGGAAAGAGCCATTAACTTCTCCTTGTGCTTGGAAGGACTGGCTGCGGACGTGCAGATCGTAAGGGAAACGGGCCTCTGGGGAGACTCGGTACATGGAGTTATGCGCAAGAGCCGTGCGCCCTGGCGCACCGCAGTAGCGCATGCCATAGTGGCTATTTTTGCCGTACTCTGGCGGGTCGTCGTGTTTTAGGGAGAAAATCCCGTTAAAGTTCATTGGTGGGCTCAGCTGGCCGTCGAAATGCGGGCTCCCGCTCTCCGGGGACTGGTTCTCGTAGTAGGGTTCGTAGGCGCTGCTGTAGCTGTAGTGACGGAACGGCTTGGCGCTACTGTCCAAGCTACTCCCGCTGTGGCCGGGGGGGTGTTCATGTCTGATCCAGGATACGGGTACATGGCATCGTAGGCGCCCTCCAGAGAACATCACCTCTCCGTTGTGGTCTGTGAGGAAGTTTCTCGCGTTCAGCTGTAAACAACCTGCCACCAAATTGGTCGTTGGTTGAGATAATCCTTTACACAAAGTCTGTACGAAGGCGAGGAGGTCCGGTCTCTTCCCTGCGCTAAGAGTCTCTGACAGGGCCCAGATGTAGTTTTTAGCCAGTCTGAGGGTCTCAATCTTGGACAGTTTCTGAGTTTTGGAGTAGCACGGCACAACTTTACGCAGGCTCTCTAGCGCAGCGTTCAAGCCGTGCATCCGGCTGCGCTCTCGGGCGTTGGCTTCCTGGCGCCTGAGTTTGGCCCTGTCAACCTGCTCTTTGCCCGGTTTCTTTTTTCGGGGGCCTCGCTTTTTAGGAAGCCCGTTTTCATCCTGATCGTCCTCTCTCTCGTCCTCATCTCTGTCGGAGATGTCGTCCTCGATCTCCCTCATGTCTGAGTTGGATCTGTCAGGGTTATGTTGTCGCTCCTGCTCCAGGCTCTCAGGTAAGCTTTCACGGGGATAATTGGCACCAAACCGCGGCTCACACATTATATGAGGTTCCTCGAATGGCAGTGTCAACATATTTCCTGTAAAATCAAAGCGGAAACATAAAACTATAAGGACAAGGTAGAACCCCGACGTCTTTTGAAGGTTGTCAGTTAATTACCTCGTGAATGAGCCTCCCAAGAGGAAGAGTAACAAATTGGCAAGCAAGGCCAGTGTCACAGCTTGCTACCTTTTCAAAGCATTACACTTAATTGCCTTTTAGATTTGTGAAAAATAGCCATATTTTAAACCTTATATTACATCACATTAAAGTTTATGTTTGCTCCAAATCAGAGTCCAAAACTAGCCAATTGTACGCCACGTATTTAACCACGTTTTTAACCCAGAATAAAAGCGCATGATCAGTCAACAAATTGCGAACAAAAACATTACTAACCTCTGGTCAGCATGTACCTTGCATGTTCCCGAAATCTCCTCTGAAACTGCGCCTCAGCTTCTTCACTTGCAAGCTACCAAATTGGAAGAAAGAGCTTAATTCTGCGCACTCTCTTTTCTCTGCCTTGCTGTGATCTGCTCTTCCCTTCCCCTCTCTCACTCTCCCTCCCTCTCTTCCCTTTCCCTCTCTCTTTGAGGAATGACACTCATGCCAACAGCGGTACCCATGCCATCTGCCGCTGACGTCTTGTGGCAGCCGAGACCACGTGTTCATTGTCCCACGGGACCTCCGCTCCGTACCGATCATCTGGCAGCTCCGGTAATGGGCACCGGGAGGCCCGCGTTTACCGTCAGAAACAGAGACCGGGAGAGGGATAACAAACTAATATCTGCATCTCCCCGTAAGAAAGATGAATTAATGTCTTTTTGTCTGGAAAATTGGAGGGAGTTTGCAGAGATTCTCAACAGGTAGACAGATTATGAATTTCCGCACTATGTGATCCATGCAGAGCTAAGTATGCGCAAATAAAAGCTGTGCGGCGGAGATGGAAAGCTTAAAAAACCTCTCCTACATCCCAAATTAAACTACATTAATAAATTAATTAAAACAATTGGAAATGTATTTGGGTGCAAAAGTAAATGAGGGGGGCGGCGGGGGGAAGCTCTTATATTTGGGTCAAAGGGGATTCAATAACAGCGTTTAGTCTAATTTTTTGATAAGGGTTCAGGACCCACTTTAACAGCATGAGCGTCACAGGTTTTGTGAGAATTCCTCGTGAGCATCATTTTAACTTGACTTTTGGAAATGACTCATTGCGTGTCTCAGGAGCAGCAGCTGTAAAACAGGTGAAAAACAAAAGATGTTCTACACATGTGAGTGAGTGAATCTGTGAGTGATGCACTCTTTGCATCATGACTTCTGTCAAATATTTCCAAAACATTACAAAAAAAATAATCTTTGACCTCTCTGGCATCTACAAAACCCCAGATTATATCAGTAACAGTGGTAACAGTGTTAATTTCTGTGTCTGGTTCTTGTGCTTTGGAAGCAAAAGCAATGTTTTTGTTAATGCAATGCTCATATGGTCAATTTACTATTTAATTACCCTCACTGAATGCACCGCCCTCTTGGTGGCAAAGGGAAGGGTTACTTCTAAAACGCTTAGTTAGTTAATGAATACTTTTTTAAATTCTCCTCTCAAGAAACAAAGGAGAAGCTGTTAATGCAGTTAGCAAACAATGTACTTAAGCTGGAGTGCATAGAAAGTATACATAATGATTGTTACTTACATAGATGGAGTGTTTGGGTCTAAGGTCATATCTCCCATATTACCATCACTATTCTGGCTGCCAGTCAGATTTTGAACTGATTTCATAATTGTTTTTTAGGCATTGCTTGGGTTGGCAACTTTTTACCTCTCTAAACTTTGAAGTTGGCATGCTCCCTCCAGATTACGGAAGTCTGAAGCTGAGCAAATGTTGCTAGCTTTCCCGAGCTCCCGATTAAAGCACAGAGGAGATCGAGCGTTTGCAGCTCAGAAACTGTGGAACAAACTGCCCCTTCACATCAGGACCTCTCCATCATGAGACACTTTTAGAACCTGTTTGAAAAGCCATTTTAATTCTTAACTTTTGAAATCTTTTATTTTAAATTAAGTTTTCTCATTTTATGTTTACATATTAGAAAGGTAACATATTAACTCGAGTGGTATCCAGCAATGCAGTTAGGCTTTCCTGTATTTTATTATTGTTTACTTGTTTTAGTGTCTATGAGACAACCAACACTAAGATTTCTATAGTTAGCCCACAAAAGAAGTCATCTATTTATCTGGTGAACAATACTTGATTGTTGGGTCTGTGAAATAAAATAGTTTTCACATTTTCCAGAGATGCCTTTCCTTATCCAAGCACAAGTCCAAATCTCCAAGATATTCAGCTTACTGTGATGGGAAAGATAGCAAAAAACAGGTAGGTTCAAAATGGTTTAAGAAATTCCTACAGAAACCTCAAATGCAAAGGATGGTAAAGAGGTGCCTTGCGCAGTGTTGGTACCTCAGTACCATAGACATTAAGCACACCCAGTGGAAAAAGCCCAGTGGCACGCTGCCAATTCCACACTGGGGCACAGCTGGCACTCGATATGGGTATATGCACACCTCAGTTATGTGGAACACACATACACAAGCGCACTGATTCACACACACACATGCAAATGTATGTGTGTGAATGACCTTGTTGAAAGGATAATCAATTAAAACAACTTATCAATCTCTCTGTATTGGACATTACAAGACATCGATCAGCAGAATGAGCCACGGAGAGCTGATTACATCTTGGTTTGACTTCCGAGCACTGAGGCCCAAGTAAGTCGCAGTTTCTACGGTGACAATGACAGCATGTACACACAGCACCGAATGTGCAAACACTTAGTCTAATGTGTGTGAGACAGGCTAGTGTGCATGTGGGCCAGCACATATACTTTACAAGAACACATCCAAAGTACATGTATAGATCTATGAAAGAAAAAAAAGCATCACTGCCTTCCCCCAAAAATGCCTCAGCTGGTGCGTTCTGGTCCAGCAAACACACACACACACACACACACACACACACACACACACACACACACTGAAGAGTCAAACTCCCCATCTCAGACTAATCAGTTGACTGCACTAATTGCAAATGCAAATATGCAAATTTATATTAATTAATTACTCACTAATTAGTTCTCTTGTCTTTTCAGGTAATAAATCATGGTGTGGTTGAGAGAGAGAGAGAGAAAGACATGGCAGTGATCTTTTGTGTGTTAGAAACCCTTGTTTCAGATGTTTACTGGGCAGATTTTATCAAGCTGTCATCCACCCAGACTCCTTAACTTCTCCTTCATTCACAGCAGCTCTAAATTCAGTCATTATTGCATTTGATATAATACGTGTACACTTCAAGGGTGGAAGCATTGTAATTTGAGAGGTTTAATAAATAGCAGAGGTTGGTAAATCAGAGTGTCTCGCTGACAGTTCTTGCTGTCAGCTCTTTTAATTATCACATTATCAGCTTTTATAGGCACGGTGCGTGGTGCAGAGCTGCAAATGAAGGCGCCATGGATCGCACGCTGAGTTGCAAGCATTTCTCAATTGATGTCAGCAGTTAAGGGGAAATTGTGTCTGGATGATGAGTGTTAGGTGAAGTGGTTGGAAAAGATGTCAACGGTGTGGTAGTAGAACGTGATCCTGTCCGAAATGTAACGTGGAGTTTCTTTAGAAAAAAATCTCTGCGTCTGACTCTGATCTCACACTGACGATGTAATGAAGCCTTTAATGCCAATTTTCAGTGTCTCAGTGGTATCTTTATTGCATTGCCTTAAACTGAGCTGCATGTACAATTACCCCAACTCAAAACACAAAAGCTAAATGAGGAAGTGCTTACAAAGTGCCACATACGAGTGCGAGCCATTTATTTTGAGTACTTGTTGATACCCAGATGAACACTTCAGTTGCTGTTGATAATAATTCACACTATAAACCTGTTGTTGGCACACTTTTTCTTTTAGTGTTGATGATAGCATCCTCCCAAATCTATTTTGCTCTTTTGTAAAGCCTCAAGAATATACTGTCCTTTTTACTCTTTTCCCCTACATTTAAATAGACCAAGCTGCACAACCTACAGAATCAGTCACGAAATATAATGAGAACAAAAACTGAATTTTAAGTAAATAAGTCAAAGTAAGTCAGTTTTAACTGTTTTAAATTCCTAATGAAGCCCTAACTCTTTCTGAACAATAGTGATTTTAATGCCCAAGAATAAATATGAGCAAAATAATTCATACTTTTGTAATTGTGACCAGATATTGTGCGCAGTAGAATGCAGTGGATGTTTTACCAATAGACTCAGCATGAATGCTTGAAACTTGCAAACAAAGAAAACAAAAGGTTTTTTTTATTATGATTGTTATTATTATTACTATGTAAATGCATTGTTTACAAATACAACAGGCATTATGTTTGTTTGTCTGTCTGTCTGCTCATTTTCTGTTATTACAATAGTAACGCTGGTCTGTTTTTCAGGAGTTTCTATGAACATTGTGCTTCACATATCCAGAATAAAAACAATATTTATTGAAAAAGGCTTTGGTTAGGAATTTAAGCTTTCGATCATATTAAGCATTTAGTGGACGTGGAAACAGTGTGAGGTGATTGCCATCATTTTCTGGGAAACATTTGTAAAACCTGACAAGCAGAACCCAGTTTGCAATCTCAGCATATTGGAAAATAAATAAATAAAAACAAAAACAAAACAAAGAAGAATTTGTGATTTTTATTTCTTTGTTGTGGAGCAGTCACTCCATGACTTGATACTGACATCGGCAGGGGAGAAAACAGTTAACCTTAAGCACTCCAGTATGCAGGGAGTTTAAAAAAAATTGAGCCCTCATTTTTGGATTAAACATGGCTATATCATGAGAAGAAAGGACACGTGTTTATTTTAGATTTATGTGTCCATATAATACACACATACATAAAAAAAAAAAAAGAAAAAGGTAAAAAGAAAATTTAAAAAATCTATGGCACACTCTGGGCACAATGGAAAGATTGCATCGTGTGGCTGGTTTGGAATCATCTTGTTGTCCTCCTGGAAAAGCCCACAATTCAGATAAACAGGAGAAAAGTGGATGGATGGATGGATTTATTATATATTACACAATATGTTTTAATTTGAAGTTACTGGCTACCTTTCTCATTACTTTTTTACACAGCTCATAAAATAAAAGACCTTATCACATCATATTATATAAAGCAATAAAACGGTCTCTGCCTTGACCATTCACAGCAGTAAAGTGCTGCACGCATGCAAGCATTGCTGAAACAGGAGCCGTTCAGAATTCTGAGCTCTTTTAATTTTGATATTTTGCCTTAAATTCATGAATGAGGTCTTCTTATTGCACGCTGTGTGACATTAGTCTACATTGAGTCATGCTCCAGCTGAAAACCTCTAAGTGGACAAATTTCTTGTTGGTTACAGTGTTGAGA